TCCCCTTCCCAGAGCCTCACCCAGCGCTATGAAGCAGTACACGACCTCCGTCAGGTTCTGGCTGCTGTACTGCTGCTGGGCTGGGGCCTTGGTGCACACCTGGGGACAGATGTGTAGGAGGGGTGAGCCTGCTGCCCACAGGGCGCCCGTGGGACTGCTGCCAGCCCGGTGCCCAGCTCACCTGCACGTGCAGCTCCGTGAAGAGGGTGTGCAGCTGCATTTGGGGCACTGGGGTGCTGGTGATGACGGCCGCCTCCAGAATCTGCCTGAGCACCTGAAAGGAGTGGACGGTGCTGGCAGGCCCCCGCCCAGCCCCTGGGGCCAAGATACTGGCCCTGCTGGCCAGGTGGCCCCACACTGGTGGCGCCCCCGGGACAGGTCATAGATGTAGACTCCAGGCCCTGTGCTGGCTGACAGGAAAGCTGAGAGGCCTTGAAGGCCACGGGGTGAGACATTCAAACCCTCCCCGGTGTCTTGTCCTGCTCACCTGGGCTGCAAACTCCACTGACTCATCTGCAGGTGGGTCCTGCATAGAGCACATCGCTCCGGCCTTGCACTTCCAGCAAACTGAGCCCAGGGCACCTCGCCAGGGCCTCCATGGTCTCAACCCCCATACCTGTCAATGCCACAACCTACAGCCCCACCCAGCGATGCCCACTGGCCACCCAGAAGACCCCAGCTCTGGGCCCTGGGGTGCACCGAATCTCTAAAGCTGGGCCCAGAGCTCGAAGGAGACAGCCCAGGGCCCTGGGCTCAGAAAGGGGCCTCTGTTTACCTGGTGGCCCCACTCACCTGGGTGCCCCATCACTGGATGGATCCACTCACCAGGTGGTTTCTCTCACCCAGGTGGCCCCTGGCCTGAGTGGACCTCTTACCTGGGCATCCTGCTCACCTGGGTGATGAAGAGAGCCTCCAGGCTGCCCTGATACTCAGCCAGCAGCAGCGGAATGTAGTCGTAGACCTGCTCCCGGAGGTCATCACTGGGCAGCAGGAGGTTCAGCATGGGCTTCAGGGACTTGATGACCCCCAGCTTGACCTACCAGGAAATGGGGCCTCGGCCTCGTCTTCCCAGGCCCTCTGATAGCCCACTGAGCTCAACCCAGCCCACATGACAAGAAGGGACTGGGATGTTGAGCTGAGCCCTGCCTGGGGCCCAGCAGATGGGCCCCGGGCTCTGTCACCTCCTAGCCAGAGGACCTGGAACCAGGGCCTAACCTCTCTGAGCTGCGGGTGACCCACGTCTCCCAAGCCCCTGCGCTGGTAAGCACAACCCCGGTGGGAAGCCGGTTCTTGGTGGTTCTCTTGGGTCTGCGGAGCAAGTTACCTCAGAGCACAAAGAAAGAGAAAGAGGATCTAACCCTACCCGCTGTCCCCAAGCTGCTGCCACCAGAGTCCAATCTGCCACATCTGTCTTCTGAGGAGCGGCTAGTGGGGCCAAGATGGGGAGCAAGGCTTCGCCCCCTGGGCCACCAGGGAGCTGGTCGGGTCGCCCTCCACACTCACCCCTCTGAGTGTGCCCAGGAGCGAGACGGACAGACTCAGAAGCAGAGGGTGAGCAGGCAGGAAAGGCCCCGCCCCAAAGCCAAGGAGCCTGCAGAATGCCCAGGGCTGCAGCACCTGGGTGGGGGTGGGGCTGTCAGGGGACAAGGAGGGGACCCTGCCCATTGCCTGTGCCCCGAGTCCCAGCCTCCAACCCGAGGCGACACACTCCCACTGTTGGCACCCACACCTTCCGCAGCAGTGTGCTACTGCGGCCCCTGGAGATGTGGGCAGCGTGCCTCGGTTTCTCCATTTGTAAGAGCAGGGTGCTGGGCGCTGCATCTCAGAGGTTACAAAGGCAAGCCCCTCTCTGCTTCATCATCAAGGTCACTCAGAACGGAATCCTCCCAGCCCCTCCGGCCAGGCAGGCATGGTGGTCCGGGGATCCCCATGAGGGGCCCCCTAACAAGGGGTGCCTCTCACCTCGGCGTTGTCATTCCTCAGCCACATGGTCACAAAGTAGCGGTACATGGGGAAGAGCTTCAGGGCAAACTGCTCCTCGGTCATCACAGGGTACACACTGTCCTCCAGGTGCTTCAGGTAGAACTGAACGGTCTCGCAGAAGGTCTCCATGGCTGCCCGGGGGCGGGGGGACATGAGGGGTGTCGGCCACCGAGGGAGGAAGCCCCCTCCTCCCCTCCCAGGCAGGGGCTCCCACCACCAACACCCAGCTGGAGAACACCCGTGCTCTCTGCCCTCGCACACCCCACCCACACACCCCACTGCCGGGGAGGAGGCGCAGGACGCCCCTGGAGGGACTGACCCAGGACTGGGGGCAGGATCGTGGCTCTGCACCCACACCTCACGGGGACAGACAC